TAAAACTCAGTGAATAACTAACCCTTTTACAGTATATTGTGTATTTTGTTTCTACAGAGGGTCGATTGAGAATTACTTTATTGTATTTTGGCCTCCCCTCTATGAATAAATTTTTTAATAAATTGATTAAGATTTTGTTCTCATCCTTGTTACAACACAAGTCATAAATATCAATGTTAACATTGACATGCTTGATAGAATTTATGCGAGAATACTAAATGGAATGACTGCAAATAATTACACATTTCATCGATATTCAGATTATTGCAATCTAGCAGTTTCTAATTTACAGACCTTTTTGAAACAATACTCCTAGGTAAGTCTGAGCGAAAGTTAGTTTTCGTTCATACATGTTTTTATGATCTAAGATTTGATGGACAATGCCTTTTATTAAAACAGAAAATTAGAAAATAGTGGTCAAATGATTATTGTCTAACCTGTTCTTTCTCTTTCTCTAGGAATACGAGTTCAACATCTCTTAATAGCTTGCTGGGCTTAACGTTCTTGTTGTTTTTAATACGAAGTGACTTGGGACATCTCTTTATGAGTGGTTCAGCAATATCACTGTAAGCTGAAATTATACAAATATTAACAATGATAATAAAGAGAGAATGATGTGATGTGACTCTGGGAAGAAATGTGCGAGTCTTACTAGAAATGTCCAACATCGTATTGAAATTTCACCAAGATACAATCAGTGTTCATTTTTTCAAATTTTCCATTGTATATAGTGTATACAAAACTTTCTTATAGATCGTTAGAAGTTTTCAGATAAATTGACTTTTTTTTGTATGGAGTACCACCTAACAACTTCCATTCCATGTTGCTGATACTCTGAAACTGACTGGTACAGAATATGTAGCACCAGAATGGTTCATGGTAAAAGTTGGTTTACTGAGCTAAAATCCCTGGCTTAACTGTGGCAAAACCAGTGGGTTTACTGTGGCAAAACCAGAGGTTTACTGTGGTAAAATCAGAGGTTTACTGTGGTAAAACCAGAGGTTTACTGTGGTAAAACCAATGAGTTTACTGTGGCAAAACCAGTGGGTTTACTGTGGCAAAACCAGTGGATTTACTGTGCCAAAACCAGTGGGTTTACTGTGGCAAAACCAGTGGGTTTACTGTGGTAAAACCAGAGGTTTACTGTGATAAAATCAATGGGTTTACTATGGCAAAACCAGTGGGTTTACTGTGGCAAAACCAGTGGGTTTACTGTGGTAAAACCAGTGGGTTTACTGTGGTAAAACCAGAGGTTTACTGTGGTAAAACCAGAGGTTTACTGTGGTAAAATCAATGGGTTTACTGTGGCAAAACCTGTGGGCTCATTATGGTAAAACCAGTGGGTTTACTGTGGCAAAACCAGTGGGTTTACTGTGGTAAAACCAATGGGTTTACTGTAACAAAAATCGGTGGGTTTACTGTGGTGAAACCAATGGGTTTACTGTGGCAAAACCAGTGGGTTTACTGTGGCAAAACCAGTAGGTTTACTGAGGCAAAACAAGTGGGTTTTCTGTGGCAAAACAAGTGGGTTTACTGTGGCAAAACCAGAGGGTTTACTGTGGCAAAACCAGTGGGTTTACTGTGGTAAAACCAAATTGAGAAAATCTTCGCGAATTTGACAACCAAAGTAGATTGGTTAAGGGAAGTTTTTATTGTTTATAACGCTATTCCACTTAAATGGAAAATGCTAATTAAACAAGAACCCCAGTTATATCAAGCAACTGATGACCAGCAACAACAAACTGTTCATCTATTAGAAAATTACA